TACCTAAAAATGCAAATGCTAGCTATAACAGAAAAATAATTCTAGTTGTATATAGTACTAAATTCTTTTCCAAAGTGGTTGCTGCAACTTGCATTTTCACTGGTAGTACTGAGCATTCTTGTTGCTTCAACTCCTGGAAAATTTAGCAAATGTGTTATGTATGGCTTTATTTTGCATCTAGTTGGTTAATTTTCACACATTTGTCAAGTCACCTGGATATGCCTTTTGTGAAGTGTTTGTGTCTCTTATTTGTTTAAAAACAAATTTTTGAGTTTTAAAAACTGATCTGTAGTTTTCTTAAAATCATTTGCTATAAGTCTGTTACTGGATTTTTGTGTTGTAATTATCTGTTACTGTAGCTTGCATTTTCTACTTTTTATAAAGATACCTGTTGGGCCAGGGATATCGCTTAGCAGCACAAGTGCCTGCCTAGAAAGTGCAAGGTCCTGAGTTTGATTCCCAATATCAAAAAGAAAAAAAGGTATCTGTTGACGAAAAATGTTTCCTTTTTTGGTGCCAAGAACTAAACCCAGGGGCCTGTGTGTGCTAAGTACCTGCCTTACCATGGAAGCAGCTCCTAAGCTCCTAGTTTCAACGTAGCACAATTTAGTAAGTTAATAATTTTGGTTTTGGGGATTGAACCCAGGACCTCTTGCATGCTAGGCAAGCTCTCTACCACTAAGCTACATCCTCACTCCTTTTTTACTTTCTTTTGAGACAGAATCTTGCTCACTTGCCCAAGTTTACCTTGAATTTGCAACCTTCCTACTTCAGCCTTCCTAGTACATGGGATTGCAGGTCTACACCACTGTACTAGCTCCAATGTATCAACTTTTCTTTATAAATTTGTGTGTTCAGGTTAAGAAATCTTTAGACAATTTATTACTATTTTTAATGTTTTTCCCACCACAAGTAGCTTTACTATAGCTAGTCTAAAAGTATCTTTTTATTTTTACTTAAAAACAAAATATTCAGGATTGTACAGAGTTTTTAAAAATTCTGTGGCTTGAGTGGGGTATGGTGGTGCATGCTTGTAATCCCAGAACTCGGGAGGCTGAGGCAGGAGGATCTCTGTGAGTTTGAGGCCACCCTGGACTACTTAAGAGTTCAGGGTCAGCCTGAACTATAAAGTGAAACCCTGTCTCAAAAAAAAATCTGTGGTTTTAATATATTAGTAATTATAAAAAATTTCTCAGCCATTCATTTTTAGTTACAATTTTTTTTAAACCTTCAATCACCTCTGATGCTGGGACCCCAAACTAAAGCAAAGTTAGATCGACCTACTGTGGCCTCCCTGTCCTCTACCTTCCCTCTGCGTTTTACTTGGTGTCTCTGTGCTGCATTCTGGACCTCTCTTCTAGTTCACAGTTCTGTTCAGTTATGTCAGATGTGCTATTAAGCTCATCCATTTAATTTTTAAGTTTATCATAGAAATCAGATGTAGCATTTCTGTTTGTTTCTTTCTTAAACTTTCTGGTTCTCGGTTGAACTTTATAATCTTGTCTTTATTACTTTGCACATGAGCGTACACATTTAAAATCTATGTCTGATACAGTCAGTATCTGGAGCCCCGTGGGACATTATTTCCAGCTCATTCTCATTCAAGCTGTCTTTTTGCCTTGTGTGCCTGATCATTTCTAATTGTGGGCTACATATATTTAAAATAAAAATTCATTAGAGAAATAATATGACGATTAGTATTACTGAGTTTCTAAAAAGATTTCTGCTTGTTTCTTCATGTACCTACCGGTAACAATGTGAGATCTCATAACCCAAACTCAAGGATTGAGATGATCGGATCTTAAACTATAGTCCTTGTGAGAAGAGGTCATAACTGGCTCACTCTTATTCTAAGTATTCAGTTCTCTGGATCCCACTTAAAATGTAGGAAGTCTTACTACAGCTTTTTTCTACCATAATTTTTGGTGAGAACTAGCCTCAACTTTTGCTCCCCTTGAAAATTTATGAAAAATGAGTGTTTCATAACTCAGCTGCGTCTTCAAAGGGAAGTTTCACCAAATGTTTCATTCTCTTCTTGGATCTCTATCTTTTCTATAATTTTAGCCTTAGTAATTCTTCAATTTCTTTTAGCTCTGACAGAGTCAAGCTTTTAAAAAATACTGTGACTAGCTTTTTTAACTGCCCCTTATAGAAGGTTGTTCTGAATTGTCTAACCTGTCATTACCAAAAGCCAAAATAATTTCCCCTGAGTATTTTTCTTAATCTCATTTCCTTCTTCCATTATCTCAAATTTGATGTTTATTATTTACATTTGTATAATTATATATATATTTAATAAGTAAGTCTTAATTAGTATATTATTGTGATTTTGCTGTACTGGGAATCAAACCCAAGGACCTGTGATCCTCCTGCCTCCACCTCTTAAGAGTGCTGGCATTATAGGTATGCACCACCACACACAGATCTTTGCACTTTTTTGATGCTGCCTTTTGAAACACAAAAGTATATTGGTGAAATGCATTTTATTATGTGGCTGTTATCCTTTTAGATGCTACATCTAACAATTCACTGTCAAATCTCAAGTCAGGCAGATTTATCCTTATGTTTACATCTAAGAATTTACAGTTTTGGGCTCTATTTTTAGGATTTTAGTTTAGGCTTACTGTTTTTTGTTTGTTTGTTTGTACCAGGAATCAAACTCAGAATCTCATGCTTGCCAGGCAGGCGCTATGCCTCTAAGCTGTATCCCCTGCCCAGGATTTTAGGTTTTTTTCCCCTTGAGGTACTGGGGATTAAATCCAGGGCCTTCACACTGATCTGCATCACTCGTTCTTTATTTTTATTTTGAGACAGACTCTTGCTAAGTCGCACAGACTAGGTTCCAATTTATAATCCTCCTGCTTCAATCTCCCAGGGTGCTGGGATTACAGGCAAGTGCCACCATATCCAGTTTGCCCTGCTTCCTCAGGTTGACTCATGTGGATACACTTGGTACTACTTTACTGAGTTTTCTTTTTTTTTTTGGTGAGGTACTGGGGGTCAACCCCAGGGCTCAAACACTGTGCTAACATTCTCAGCCCTTTTTATTTTGAGACAGGGACTTGCTAATTGCCCAGGCAGGACTCAGACTTGTGATCCTCATGTCTTAGCCTCCCTCAGTTCTGGGATTACAAATGTGTCTCACAGTGCCTGACTCTTCATTAATTTAAAATGCTGCTTATATATATTATTTCTATTATATATAATTACATATAAATATAACATATTTATATATTATTTATATATCTTATTATTCAGATTCACTAATCAAAACTATTGTGTCCTATTTAGGGCATATTTGTTTTTATTTTTTGCTTTGTTTTACTTTTGGTTCTACAGACCTAATCCAAGGCAAGTGTTCTACTAATGAGCTTCAGTCCTAGTATATTTCAATTATTCCTGATTACTGACAATTAGGACCAACACACAAGTAAACATTCTCACAAGTGATTCCTAGAATGCATGTGGGAACTTTTCTGAGGTCTATATGGAGTAGGGATTAAAAACTGAGGTTTAAAGAGATTAGTAACTATTTCCATTAACTGGTTTAATTTATTTTGGTAATGGGGTTTAAAAACCAGATTAATAACTTTCAAGGTTGTAACGTTAGCAAGAGCAGAAATTTGCAACTTGCCAGACAGGTACTGTGCCACTGAGCTATATCCCCAGCCCAAGAAATTTGCAACTTAAAGTTTAAATTTTACAGTAATCAAACACTGTCAGAGTCCAAAACCAGTCTCTGTAGTCACTATGTCATGCTGGAAAACGCTTCTCTCTCTGTACTTGGACGCTCATCCCTCAGGATCAACTCGAATTCTATTTGTTCCATAAAGGTTAGTCATTCTCACCAAGTGATTTTATTCCTCCAAGTTACTTTTTTGTGCATAAATCATCTAGTCAGGCATAAATATACTGCTATCTCAGAAAACATCATCTAAATGATTTTTCCATCCCTTGGAAATGTTTTTTGTCAGAATGGATTTTGAGCTCCATGTAGCTTTTTCAAGTCCCAACAGACTTACCTATCTTTGATAAAGGTACCCAAAAATACTGGTCGACTAACAATATTTTGTTTTTGTTTTTTGAGAGAGGGTCTTGCTATGTAGTTCAAGCTGGCCTTGAACTCATGGCAATCCTCTTGCCTTAGCCTCCTGAGTACTGGAATTATGGGTGTGCACCACTGCCCCTGGCTAGAATAACAGAATTTTAAAACTCATACTTTATTTCTAAGAAGCAAGGCTCCACGACAGTGAGTTGTGATAATTAAGAAAAAGCTCAAATGTTAAAGGACACACATTTCAGACACAAATACCTTGGAAACAGCAATAGGAACAGAATAGGGTAGAGTAGAGTTCAATGAACAATCATCAGAAGCTGTTTGGTTTCCTATTTTGTTCTGCCCTAGATTTGACAGGCTGTGGAGATCAATGGTGTGGACAATGTAAAGAGAGAGAAATCTAACAGTTCCAAAGAGATGAAATTATCAGTTTTGAATCTTGACAAAAGAAAAAAATCTTTCACAGAGGCTAGGATTGGAAACAAGAGGTTATTTAATTTCAAATTTAGCTAAATGTAAAAGAAAGCATTTACTTTATTTTGATGATACTCCAGGAAAATTTGGTTACTTGTGACAATAATTTCACATCACTTATTAATTTTAGTTTCTTTGCATTGCTGGGGATCAAACCCAGGGCCTTGTGCATGTTAGGCTAGCGCGCTACCACTGAGCTCCATCTCCAGAACCACAATACTAATTTAAACCTTACTTAATCTTACTCACACTGGATGGGATCATCTCATGTGCCATTCCAGACTAATGTACTAGAGAATACATTTTAATAAAGCATAATTTTTTATTCAATGAAGATATTATATTAATAAATGCTAAAAATATATTCTCCCCTTTACATTGCCCCAATAACACTTCTGGGAAGAATGTGCAGTGAGGGGAGAATATACCTCTTGTAGATTTCTGGTTTTACGCCTTCCTTTCTTCTTACCGTTACTAAACATCGACACATGTTTGCGTAAGCCACAGAGAAACTGGGTTCATCAATAGCCTTCTCAAAGACCAGGTCAATGACTCCTTTCAGCCGCTCCTCTGTGTCAACAGTGAGTCCTGCCACTTGCTTCATCAGTTGGTTGAACATCTGCGGTGTCAATTTATTTAAGATACTTCGAACTTTTCTAAAAAGTTCCTAGCAGGACCACAAGGAAAAAAAAATCATTAGAGTACGACAATACAGTACTTTCTGGAAAGACTTTTAAAATGTAATTTATATTAAGTTTAACTTCTCAAATTAATAAGGATTGTGAACTATTCAGAAAAGTAATTACATTCACTGACTTTAACAATAATCAAACATTCTACCCTTTTTGACTACTGATACAGGATTCTAAGAACTAAGTATATTTCTAGTTCACTGGCAGGAATGTTACACCCCCTCTCCCCCGCCATAACACACACTGCCCGAGATAAGGTTTTGCTATGCAGTTCAGGCTACCTTTGAACTCACTATATAACCCAGCCTGAACTTGAACGGTGATGCTCCTGCCTCAGCCTCCCAAGAGAGCTTGAATTACAGGTGTGTGTCACCACGCCCAGCTAAGAATGTCACTGAGTACATTTCTTTTCTTTTCTTTGGCACCAGGGATTGAATCCAAGGCTTTTGGTATGGTGGGCGTGGTGCTCTTACACTGAGATTGTTTGAAGGCAAAGGTGACAATGTGTATCAAAAACTTTGAAAGTGGATATGTCTTCTGAACCAATAATTCTAGTTTTAGAAACTTGTTCATATTCAAGGATAGGTAAAAAGATTTTAGGCAGAATAACCTGTATTATAATCTTTCATAGGAAATAACTTCAGTCCAGGTTGCGCAGTGTTCAAGGCTAGCCTGAACTACATAGTGAGACCCTATCTCAAAACCAAACCAGGCTGGGCATGGTGATACATGATTGTAATCCCAGCACTCAGGAGGCTGAGGCAGGAAGATTGCTGCAAGTTTGAGACCAGCCTGAGCTACAAAGTTAGGACTTGTGTCAGTTATAAAAATGGCTATCTACAACTCTACTTAATGGTAAAATTTTAGATACTTTCCCCTAAGATTGGAAACAAATGAAAAAAATATCTGTTCTTACCATTCCCACTTAATATCATAACAGGTGCTAATGAGCAATAATGCAAAGAAAAATAAAATAAAACTGTATACTCACAGGGATATAATTAGGTTAAGTCAGTTTTCCTCCAAAGTTATCTACATGTTTTACATAATTCAAATAAAATTCCTACAGGGGCTTTAAAAAAGTCAAGTTCATTCTATAATTTGTATGAAATGATAAACTTAGAAGAGCCTGAGCAATTGGGGGCAAGGGGAAGAGGACTCACACAACTATTTCAACATGAAGCATATGTAGTTACTATATAAAAACTGTGATATTGGCCAAAGGACACACACAAAGCTAAAATGGAACAGAATGAAGAATTTAGAAACACACTCACAGAGACATGACTAGATTTTCAACAAAAACTGCAATGGACATTCAATGGATAAAAGACAGTCTTACAAACAAAGTGTGTTGGAAAAACTGGACATTCATTTTTTAAAAGGGGAACCTTAATCCATACCTTGTACCTTTTAAAAAACTCAAGAGTTAGGGCTATAGCTGAGCAGTAAAGTGCTTGACTAGCATGTGCAAGACCCTGTGTTTGAGCCATAGCACCACACAAAACAAAGCAAAACACACACACACACACACACACAAACTCAACTAAAACTGGCTCACAGAACTAAACATAAATTTGTTTCAAAATATCAAGGTTTAGAAAAAATCAGGCATTCTTATATTAGGCAAAGATTTCTTAGATATCATAGCAAAAGCACAATCCATTAATGAAAACATCAATAAACTGAATATAATCAAAATGAGAAGCTTCTATTTTGTGAAAGATACTGTTAAAAGAATGAAAAGACAAAGCATAGAATGGAAGATAATGTTTGCCAAATATACATTCCATAAAGGACTTATATTAAGAATATGTAAAGGACTCTGAAAACTCAGCAATAACAGAATGTTATTACTCACTCAATTAAAAGGGAAAAAGACAGAAATTTTACTGAAGATCTAGGAATTACAAACAAGCACATGAAAAGATGTTCAACATCATTTTATTTGGGAAAAACAAATTAAAGGTACAATGAGATACCACCACATATTCATGAGAATAACTAAAATTTTTTTTTTTGTTTTTTTTTGTTTTTTTCCGGTACCAGGAATCGAACTCACAACCTCGCGCTTGCCAGGCAGACGCTGTGCCGCTGAGCTAAATCCCCAGCCCCAGTAATAAAATTTAAAAGCAGAAAAGAACAAATGGTGAGGAAGATAAGGCATAATTCAAACTCCCATGAACTGCTAGTGGAAATGAAAAATGCACAACCACTTTGAAAATATTTAACTTTATTTGTATGTTCCAGTAAGGTCCAACATATGTTTACCAAAAGATCCATCAATACTATGGCTAAGAATTTACCTAAAAGGAAGAAAATGTATGTTCATACAAATCCTGTAGGCAAAGTTTACAGCAACTTTAGTTATAACTGCCAAAACTTTGCAAATGTTTGTTCTATGAATAGATGAAAAGCTAATATTACTCAGCAAAACATATAAATAAAAACACAGCTTATCATAATTATAATAATGAGTGAATTTAAAATGTATATGTTAAAAGAAATGATGATTAAAATGATTTAATTTACATCATTTTCATGGAAAAAACAACAGTACAGGGACAGAGAACAGATCAGTGACCACCAGAGGTGAGCCTGAGAAAACAGAATACATTCAAAGTAACATAAAGTGCTGATGTTTGAGGTTCAGTGAAAACAATATATATGTTTCCTTTATAAAAAAAATTATGTATCTTGACTGTGGTGACAGTTAAACGACTACATGTGTTTGACAACAATTATAGAAATGTAAAAGGAACTTTTACTATAAGTAATGTCTCAATTAAAAAAAAAGCTGTAAAGAAAAGATGACATAATATCTAAACAAGCTTGTAAGATGTTTTGATTGCTTAAAAACCTTACCTGAATACAAGGATATTTAGAATATGTGTAAATGTTAACAAGTTTTTCTATTCAGGAGATAGTAAGTCAATTATAAAACTATATTGTCAAGGTTTTCCTTTTTTTTTATTTAAGGTTTTCTTTTTTAGCAATGAGCCAGTATTGCTTTTATAAAGAAAGAAAAAAAAAGCCTATTAGGGACAGGAGAAAGAAGATGCTACACCTTTTAACAGCTTGTATTAAGTGAGGTAATAAAGTTTAGGTTAAAAATGTTAAATTCTCCTTTCTATAAAAATCTTCAACTAGCCCTACTTTTACAAGATAATGTAAGCCTAGAAAAATAGGATAATAATTATTTATTATAATAATATCTACTTGATATCCATTAAATTCTCTATTAGGCACAAATGAAACATAAAGCAGAACTAATGCCTTCCACACAATCAAAATCTAGCTGAAAAGATATTTTCAAGATATTTACAAGACAAAGAAAGTACTAGGATTGAACAGGGACCAATAAAGAGAGTAGTTTAGATATGATATTAGAAGTCACAGGTACTGCATCGTTCAGGAAAATAGGACAAATTATGGCAGACAGAAAAGGCTGGTTAACTGAAAAGAAAAAAAAGATTTTGGGAAAAGGAAAACATTTTAGGTTGAGATTGTTATTAAAGAATTCTTATTTCGAGAACAGAAAGAACAACCAGGAACTATTAGAGGAATAGTATATACTAGCTGTGGGACAAATGACATCTTAAATGCTAGGTTTAAAAGTTAGGAATGAAAAAGTAAAATTAGTGCTTCAGGTAGGTGAGGAAGGTAGCAGAGGTGGGAATCCTGCACCACAAGGACAGAAGAAAGATAAAGCAAGGAACCCCAGGAGTGGACAAGATCACTGAAAGACATTCATAATGTTTTAATATAGCGATTAAATAAAATCAGTGTACAAAAGTTTTCTGGTGGTACAGGCAAACATATATCTATTGTTTTGAGAAAACAGAAAGAAACAGAATAACAAGCAATAGGCAGCATTAGGTATACCTATGCAGAGAAGAATAAAAACACCAAAAAAAAAAAAAAAAAAGAAGTGGAGTAAGATGTTTTATTTCAAAAAAAAAAACGGCCAAGAAAAAGTATTTGCATTAGTTCTTAAAAAGAAGGTTTAATTCTCTCTTGAATTTGCTGTATCTATCCATGAAAGAAAACTTAATGATATCTCATGTCAATCTAATATATCTAAGTAATCTTTGTGTTTTTGTGATAAGAATTAATAATGAGAACTCCATAACAGAATAAAGAGAGGCAGATTACATGTCACAAAAACTGGACTACCCAGTAACCATGACACAAGAAATGTACTACTAAGTAAACAGGCAGCTTATCTCTTGAAGCTTTTTTATATGGAAAAAAGGGAAACATGTATTTTTTCTTCAGGAGTATAAAAGACTCTATCTAATAAAATAAGGTATTATATCTGGGCATGGTGGTGCATGCTTGTAATCCCAATTCTCTAGGAAGCTGAAATAAGAGGATGGAAAGTGTGAACCAAGCCTGGCTAACAATTTAATGAGATCTTGTCTCGGTAAAATAATACAAGTGCTTTACATACTAAAACAAAACATTTTAATGCTGAAGATCTTCTAGAAATTTTAAACTATGTAAGACATTTAGGCCCTCATAATTGTTAAACATTTCTCAGGGAGACTGGAGAAAAGATATGGAAGGCAATTACTTTAAAGGTTGAGATACACAGAAATGAGATGGAGATTAGGGAGCTGATTTCAGTAAATGTAGGAAGATATATTTAGCAACTTTATGTAAGAAAATGTGGTATTTATACACAATGGAGTACTACCCTACCATAAAGATAAACCTGAGTCATTTGTAGGAAAATGGATATACCTTAAGACCATAATGTTAAGTTTATAAATCAGACACACAACCTTACACATCACCTGATTTTTCATAGGAAGCCAAATTATAAATACAGGGCAAAATAAAAGATAGATTATAGGAAGCTAGGAGATGGATCTTTCTCAGATGGGAAGGGGATCAACAGATGGAGGGAGGTGAGGGAAAGGAGGCAAAAAGGGATTAAGATGTGTACATATACCAACTTCACACAGGAAATGTAAACATTATGTACTGCAAGCATGTAATAAATTTTTTCTAAAAAAGAGAGAAATGAAGGCCTGATAAGGAAGATGAAAGCAATGTTCGATAAATTAGCACAGGAGAGAAGCTTTATCACTGAGAATATAAAAATCATTTTTAAAAACAGCAAACACCATTTTAATGACAGAAGTCTACCATGTATGAGCCCATTAGACATGGTGACTATTTGCAAAAAGCACACAAACAGCAATTTCATTTCAAGAGAAGGAAGTGGGTTCTCTAGCATCCACCATGGCTTTCAGAACATGCTTTTAATATAAAAAAATACATAGTCTTACAATGGCTGGTATTTCTCCATATATTGATAAGGCAAGACAAGTTAAACCAAATTAAAGTGGTACCATTATAATTCCAAAACAATGTTAAGATGTACTTCTACTCTTACCTGAGTTTTAATATTTTCAGGATCCTCAGCTTGGCTATCTCGTTTTTGGCTGGGCTTCCACGCATTCTCTGCCTTTTTTAGGTGCACATCTTCTTTTACAGAAACTGTGATGATCTTTCTGGGTTCCCTTCTCTGGCCAGGTTGAGACCTCCGTGGCCCAACATTCAACAACTAGGAGAAGAATATTAGATTTATTCAGAGTACTTAACATTCTGAACTGTGTCTACTGTGGTGTTCAAGTCAAGCCTGATGTTCACACCAAACACTTGGAGATGCAAAGACTGGGTAGTAGGAACGCAAGCTAGATGTGATCCTTTTCTGTTGATGTGTAGGGAGGGAGAAAAAAAATAACTTCAGAATGCCATCAATACAATGTTCTCTACAACTTTTTGATCCCAAGGTACTAAATGGGACAAAATGATGAAAAATGACGTTTAATAAAGCTGATGTTCCTAACAAGAAAGACTATCCCTAACTAAAGCTCTACATTCTACTAGATGTAGAACTTTGGACTGGATATTGTCACAGTTAGAAAAATTCAAAGGTAATGGTCATCAGTAACACATCTCTAAAAGCTGTTTTTTTTACACTTCTAGGGTAAAATACAAACACAGCCTTTCCATAGCACAGACACATACCCTTATTGCAGATCATGCTAGATACTTCTAAATTTGGGGGTCATAAATACTAATGTAAGTGGTCCTTACATTATAAATAGCAATCAAACTAAATGACTCCCTGAGTTTGTGTAGGGAGGGAAGTTTATTCTATCTTTCTCTCTTTCTAAACTCCCTGATCTTGCTAGATTTCCACTACACTTCTGTTAGTACCAATATATGTTAGCATGTCACAATGATCATCAAATTAAGTACAAATTGTTACTGTAAGAGATAACAATGTAAGTAAAAATACATCTTGCATATCAAACTAACCACAGCAATTGCTGTCTTAAATGCCTAAAATTCATTTTTCAATATTGAGCACTGGGTTGATAATAATCCCTGCCACTTCCCAGATCTGTTGCACGCTGACAACTTTATTTTTTCTGACACATCATTCCTTAAATGCCAAGCAAATATTGCCATTCTATTTTAAAAGGAAACAAAAATCTTCACAAGACAGACCAGAATCACATCTCACCTACTATCCCAACACTACCCTTTAGAATTCATACGAAGCTTCAGAGAAGAAAAATATAGACTTAAATGTCATGCTTTCATAAAAGATACTTCTAGGAAAACATGGTTAAGTACCTAAACTGATACATTTAGAAGCCTTGCCGGGGATGTTGCTCAGGGCACAGCGCCTGTCTGTTAAGTACAAGGCCATGACTTCAATTCCCGGTACCAAAAAAATAAAAAAATAAAAAATAAGTCTTTACACATTAATCATTCTCAGAAATAGTCACTTACACAAAACCATCTGCAATTAGAAATGGTAACATTGAGAATGCATCAGGGTTGACAGTTTGAATTTCTGGGAAATTCATATTAATCCTGTCAAATATATCCAGTTAAGGATACAGTATTGGCAACATGATCTCAGACTTTTTGGTAAAATGAAAAAAAAAAAAAACCAAAAAACCAAAAACCAAAACAGGTTATATAAACACAGAAGAATCAGACATAGTATAACTGAAAGACACTAAAGATTTGAAAACTGCCAACAAAGAAGAGTTGCTAAACCAGACAGGATTACTATAAAAATATTTATAACTGCATCTTTAATATGGCAGCTCAGACCAAATAATTCTATTAAGAAAATGTAGCAATCCAAGTAAAGTCTAGATTTTTAATCTAGGTTACAGCTGACTGCTATCTTGAGTGAGTGGATTTACTTTTCAATGCTTGCACACAGCTCAAGCAATCAATTATAAGACATTTCATCCGCATATTTGCACCTAACACGTCAAAAACTAATGTATCTGGATGTAATGAAAGTAAATTATGTCAAAACCATGTAACTGTTATAGTGTGCATATTTGGAGATAAAGTCATAAAATATCTATTTCCAAAATCTGCAGACAACAACAAATATGTCTTGGAGGTATCTTTTCACCAGACCCATACAAGTATGTGTAACGTCAAATGAGCACCACAGAGAAATGAGAAAAAATAACGAAATGTTTAATAACAAAGTTCAAAGAAAAACACTTGAGAAGCTAATTTAAACTGTTAGTCTAAGATGAAACGGCTGAAATTATAACCCACATAGAAATTCCTGGGAGAAATTTAAAAATTTTATTTGTATTACTGGGCATATATAAGGTAAATACTGTTCTCAAATATTTATCTAAGTATTTTTTTGTTTTGCTTTTCTTCCAGTACCAGAAATCGAACTCATGACCTTGCGCTTATCAAGCAGGTGCTTTGCCGCTGAGCTAAATCCCTAGCCCTATTACCTAAGTTTTTTGAGTCCATAGATTTGCTATGCTTTTAAATCCTTAAAATGCTTACTTAATTATCGTATTTATACTGTAGGAATGAGGTCATGGTCTGGAATATCAACACCTGGAAGGACTGTGGGACAGTAGAGAAAAGAGGCAGATTAGCAGATATGAGAAGCGGACACTCAGGAATAGAAAAGCTTTTCAGTATTCCTGGAGAACAGATTAGCAGGTAGTAAACAGCATGACGCTGAAGAACGAGTTTCTGGAAGCTGATGTGGTAGTTTAGAAAGACATTGCTACAGAGACAGGTGTATTTTGTGAGGTGAGAAGACTTTGTGATCGTTCACACAGAAGAGTAATAATGCTCAGATACTTTTGAGAAAGATTATTCTGACAATATTGCAGACAAAATAAAAACTGGGGTTTGGAAGAAAGTCTGTGGCAGTATGTCTCTTAAAGATGAGAAAAAAAAAAGCAAAACAAACAAAAAAAGAAAGATGAGGCAGCTCTAACCTCTGCGATGCTTATGGGAGTTACAGCTAGCACACAGTCATTCACAGGTCTATAATACCTCTTTGTTGTATGGATAGCTAACTTTTCTCTGAGTAATGGAGATCAAACCCAGGGGTGCTCTACTACTGAGCCACATCCCTGGGCCTTAAGAAAATTAAAAAAAAAAATTTTTTTAAAGACAGGTGCTCACTAAATTAATCAGGTGGGACTGAAACTTGCAAGCCTCCTGCCTCTCAGTGCTGAGATTAAAGAATGTGTCACCATACCCAGCAATACTATTTAAAATTAAAAACACACACATATACACATGTGCACCCAAAAGCAACAATCCCACTAAAATTATGCAAGGTATTACCATCAACTGTAAAGCAGTGAAAGGAACATTTAAAATTAAATGTGATGGGCGATGGATATAGCTCAGTGGCATGGCACCTGCCTGGCAAGCAGGAGGTCCTGAATTCGATTCCCAGTTCAAAAAAAATGAAATGAAATGAAATGTGATGTGTTGATTTTAACATTTCATGTTTTTCTTAGTGTGAAAAACTTAATATAAATCATGAAATTTATAGTAATCTCCAAAAGTAGCACTATATGACTTATTACTAAACAAAAAAATCCCTAGGACACTGTGCTAAAAGTTATGGGACACAGAACATGAAGCCTAGGACACAGTAAATGAAGCCTAGTCCACTTGCTGAAGGGCAAGCAACCCTGACTGATGGCGAGAAGAGGAAGTGTAAGTATGCTGTACTCAAGAGAATAGATTATATTAGAATTAAAGTGTCAACCTTTGGGATTGACTAATGAAGCACAGTTTTTTTTTTTTTTTTAATGTGAGGGTAAATTTAAATTCTTTTCTAACTCACTTCAGATTTTCTAAATATATTAAGTGAAAAATTATGTCCATTTCTGTTTTGGAATTTAATATGTACTGTTCCCATCTCATTCACAGACTCAACTTGCAAATTCGTCTATTTACTTGGGTGAGAAAACAGAACAAATACTGGAGATTAAACCCAGGGCCCCATGCATGCTAGGCAAGGACTCTACCACTGAGCTACATCTTAGCACTTTTTATTTTTAGACAGCGTCTCACTAGGTTGCCCTGGGTGGCTTCAAAATGGTGCTTTTCCTATGAAAGTAGCTGGGATTACAGGCATGTGCTACCATATCCAGCCACCCTAGCAATTTTTAAAGAAGACAGGCAATAGTTTCAAGACAGAAGGATAGAGACAGTGAACTCAGAAACTTCTCTGCTCCTAGGATTTTTATGACAGATCAGCTAATGTCAAAGTTTGTTACAGTGAATATGAATGGAAACTGGGCACTCAGGGTGCACACCTGGAATCCCCACTACTTGGCAGGCTGAGGCAGGAAGAACCCAAGTTTAAGGCCAGCCTGGGTACCTAGTGAGACCTTGTCTCAAAAGCAAAAATAAAAAGGAATGGGAATATAGCTCATTGATAGGAGTGTCCATGAGTTTAATCCCTAGTACCACTCCCCCCAGCACATATACAGAGAATGGGAAATTTCTACTTCTAGATCCATAGGTCCTTTTAAGTATTGCTTTTGCAGTACTTTCTGAGATGCTTGCAAACAGACTAAAGTATCATTAGAACTGTCCATTAAAAATCCCAGAAATCTAGAGATGATCCTTCTCAGCATTTCCAACAGATATGTACTTTATTATCCATCAAATGTTAGAAGATGTATACACATCTGCACATAATATTTTAAAACAATTGGTTTATATTAAAAATATTTTGTAAAGTCAATTGCACAAAATTTTTCACTGTAAGTTATGGCTGCTTAAGCCTTACTATGGAGTCTACCTAGACTTTTTAAAGACAGGCTGGACAACTGGCAAAAATAATTAGAGGTATAGAATTACAAACTATGAAGAGTTAGTGTTATGGCTTATATCTAGCTGTCCTCCCCAACGCCTTGCTCACTTATAGGTGGGGCTTTGGGGAGGTGACTGTATCTTGGGTGTGTGATACTGGATTACTCTGATTTGTTTTAGCATAGATCTGCATGTGGATAATAGGTTTACTGAAGAGAGACGACTCAACCTGGGTTCAATAGGTTGTAGCCTACGTAGAACAAAAAGAGAAAGCAGGAGAAAGGCTGCTGCTTCCTGCCTGCCATACCATGGACTGCCGAGCCATGCTGCCCCATCTTGGAGCCTGCTGACTATAGACTGAAACCTCTACAAACTCTGAGCTGAAATAAACTTTCCTCTTTCAACTTGTGGGTGTCAGGTATCTTGCCCCAGCAAAGAAAAAGTAAGACAGCTGGAGTACTGCTTTTTCTAAATGGTATCTTTTCCATTCTTTTTTATATTAAACATTTATGCCTTATGACATGCCCATCTGAATTTACATCAACACACTAATATATAAATTGGGCCAATTAAGTGGAAACTGTCTGTTAGCTAGGGGAAAAGCTGGTACAATAACTACTTGCTTAAGGATTACACTATCAACATTACCCTGATAGTTCACAATTTACTTAACTACTAGCTTTTGACATGATAAAGCTTCTTAGCAAACAAAATTACATAATTACAGCTAATCTTCTGGTAGACACAACAAGTTCTACATAATATCCCATCTCCAGTCATACGACTTTGAATATACCAGAATAACTCATTTTTCTGATATATACAGGCCTTTACATGAGCAATCAAACCTAGTTTGGTTTCACTTTCAAAATTCATTTTCTATTTTCAGTATTTTAAAAGAGATACAGCTTATTCTCAATTCACAACATTCCATTTTGCTATAACTAATAGAAAAACAATGAACAAAGTAAGCTGGTATAAAAAGTGACAATATACAATGGAATAGGAAACATGGCAATTCGTGCCTTCTGTGACTGACAGATGAATAAAATTAAGCAATATAATAATAATTACAGATGCTATTATTCAGAGAACAATTAAGATGACATCAACATTATTTCAAACATTGACAAAACAAAATTATTAACCAAACCAAAATGAAAGGTAATACATATATATATATTTAAACCATAAGAAAGGGAAATAATGCTAGAAAAAAGGTACAGATGGTTTCTAGAAAGCTGCTTTCTAAGACTTTTTGGTAAGACAACTGAAGCTTCACAAAAATTTTTGCAATTTAGAAAAAACAGATAAAGGTTAAACTTTAAAACAATGTTTAAACAAAGTATCATACACAGGTCTAAAGATGATGATATCAAATAAAGAGTATGTTTCAAATTAAGGAGGTTTCCTGTGGGTCTTACAAAACCTCCGACAGGCAGAAGGCATTCAAATACCTTTATCATGTTCAGATGCAGAAAAATAATCAAATAACTTAAGTATTTCCCAAGTGACATTTGTTTTCAGACGGTATAATCTTATTTCAAAGCAGGTTTCAAAAGTTGCCATTTCAGAAATAAAAAAGTGATGGGGAAATGGAGTCACTTTACATATGAAAATATTTTCACAAATATACAATAAAATACTCTTAATAGGGTGACCTGCAAATAAACAGCAAACCCCATGCTCCTCCAGGTTTTTAGAATAAATGCTCTCTGTGCCATTCTAATTCAGGGGAAAAGATGTATGCACTGGTAATTTTCCTCATGCGTTCTGCAAGTCTAAAAAACATGGAGGAGGCAGAGCTTGCCGAATCCTGCACAGTGCAGTGTCCCAGCCCAACTCCATTGCTGATGCCACTTCCACCACTGAAGAGCCTGCCACTGGGCATGAAAGGGCAATTTGTAGTTTACCAATACTATTCTTTTACAGATGTCATGTATTTCCACTTTGACTTACAACCTATGGTAAAAAGAGCGAAATAACACCATAGACTATTGCTTGAAAAAAAGGATTCAGCACACCCCTAGAGGCAGGCTCTTCAGGGGTGGATGCGACATTACCAGTGGAGTACAACTTGGGGCTTTGCTCTGTTCCAGAATTGGTAATCCGTGCCTCCTCTGCATTTTGCAAATCTGTCGAAACAAAGAGAAAACAGTTGACCATTAGCTGAATGTCAGGAGAGAGCTCCCGGAGAGCAGGCCACCTCAATACAAAACAGGAATTTTACAAAGGTTGGCTCTACTTTTAAATCTATTTGCAGGTCATTTCAAATGAAGAAATATGAAAACAAGTCAAGCACAAACTTATGCAGACGAGCTTTTCTCAAATAAAAAGGATTCAAATGTATCCTTTGTTTGCTTTAATATGGAAGGGATAGTTTTTGCCTCCTACTCCTCTATTACAGTAATCATTGAATAAAGATCACTCTTTTGCTATTTGACAAGATGTCAGGGCTTCTATGGTACTTTTCTAGCTAATGCAATTGTAGGGAATGTGCACTTACAGGTACACCTCTTCCACCGGGTGTTTGCCTTCCAAAATCTGCAAAGGCTGGAGTAAAGTCTGGTCCTCGAGGTAAAATTCGAGGATCCAGAGTTCGCACTGGCAATTTGGGCTGGTTGATCTGCATGAAAAATCAAAGGAAAACTTAACACACATGTTCCTGAGTATTCTGTGCCAGGACATTAACAAAGACTGAAAAGTCAGTGGAAATGGTGAGTAGTGGGTTCAGGACCAGTACACATCCAACCTGATTACATGAAAGCTTCTCCTGGACCAGCCTTAAAACTAATAGAACAACAATGATGTTTTGGTGCCCTGGAGCTGATTAGGCTTTAAATTTCCAAGAAAAAAAATACATGCAGTCAGAAGATTGGCTCACTAGCTATTTAGGACCTGTAGAATGTCAAAAGACAAGCGAATAATTTTGAGATCTTTGGAACTAGGATCAAATTGTGGGACTATAAAAGAGGATATTCATCAAGACATTAGAGTACCTGCCTATAGAAATCCTGCCATCATTCTTTTTTTTTTTGAAACAGGATCTCACTATGCAGTTCAGGCTGGCCTTGAGCTCACTTTGTAGTCCAGGCTGGATCCAACACACAACGATCCTCCTGCCTCAACCGCCCAAGTGCTGCAATTACAGGCGTGCGCCACCACACCTGGCCCATCATTTATTTTTGTTTTAATGCTGGCAACTTATGATAAGAAAGCATGTATATTGAGCAGACAGTAAGTTCAAAGGAGGAAATGTTTCATGAAATTTCAATTTGCTTTGTTAATACGAGATACCTGATTTTAATTCAGCTTATAATGTAACAGCAAAGCTAAGTTGCTGAGCAAAAAATCAACTAATGAATGGCCACAGTCAGAAATCAAAAAGTAACAGTGGATTATCTAATTTAGTAGCTGTAACACGTACTCTGAGATACTAAAATATGCTCAAAGTAGTACCACCAATCAATCATTTAATGAATAAATAAATAAATACCTAACAAGTAAGTACCTCAAATAAGACTTAGCTATAACAAGAGAAATAAGAAGGCCTGTTGCTGTGGGAAAGTAAAAAATAACACAAATAAGCTTAATATAAGCACCTGCAGGATATCTTCGTAAGAGGCAGAATTATCACTAAGGTAACTTTAATATACATTGATGCATGCATTTAATTATTTGTTTGTTCATTTGGTTTTTTTGAGATAGGGTCTCGCTGGGTAGTTCAGGGTGGTTGTGAACTCACTATGTAGCCCAGCCTGGCCTCAAACTCAAGGCTATTCTACTGCCTCAGCCTCCCAAGTGATGAGATTACAGGCAGGCACCACCTTGCCTGGCTAACTTTAACATTATTATGTGAGAAAAATAGTTCATTTTCAAAAAGTCTTCAGGGACTCAGCAGTTGCCTAGCATGCTTGAGGCTCCGGGTTTGAATTTTATTTATTTTTTATTTATTTATTTTTTTTTTGTTTTTTTGGTTTTTCTCCAGTACTGGGAACCGAACTCATAACCTTGCGCTTGCCAGGCAGGAGCTTTGCCGCTGAGCTAAATCCCCAGCCCCACGGGTTTGAATTTTAGTATCAAAACAAACTTTAAGCTTAGTCACTAGCACTGGTTCATCTTCAATTTACATAAAATTACTTAAACAATTTACTTCTTTAAATTTAATAAACAAATACTGTCTGTACTAATTTTCCTGTGTGCATCATTATTACCACAGAGGAAGGATGCTTACCTAGTATTATATGCAGAGGTCTGGGAACTTCGACCACTAGAAGTAACTCTTAGGAAAAATTTGAGCTATATGTTATTTGAATTATGTTGATCCCCACTTAAGTTTGACCTATCAAATACCATCTTTGCTCTCTGATCTGTCCTCAATGCTACTATAATTCCACAAGGAAACTTTCCAACAATGGGGAAAGAACTCCCCATCAACTAAACTGTATCTTTCCTCCAACAAACAATTGTTAGTGTATCACTAGTAAGCAGCAATAATAAGCAGACAAATGAAATTTTTAACAACCATCACTCAAACATGGGTCCGAACATTAACTTGTTTTTGTTTGTTTGTTTTTTTGTCTTTTTGAGACAGGGTCTTGTTATGCAGTTCAGGCTGGCCTTGAACTCACTTTATAGCGGAGGCTGGTCTCAAACTTGCAATGATCCTCCTGCCTCAGCCTCCCGAGTGCTGGGATTAAAGGCATATACTACCACGCCTGTCGAGAACATTAACTTGTAATAAGCCAAAAACTCAATAGTATTTAGGAAAATCTGACTGTTAGCATTACATATTTTTATTCAAATGCCATCTGTTCCTAAAAACTGCACATACTTCATATATTTCACTGATGGTTAATATCAGCTCCCACCCAAAAGCCATAGCTTTCTCCGAGAGTGGTGGCTTACCTTGTCAAGAACCACATCGCTGATAGGAGGCAGGCCTTCTGGCTTTTGGATACAGACTGGCATAAACTGGAAGTCCAGCAGAAAATCCCTGTCATACTGTTTCTTGCCTTCAGTATGAGCAGGCTTCCAGGATTCTAAAAGAAGGATATGGGCAGATGACTATATAGATTCCAATATGTACTTATCTTCCCATGAACAACCACAACAAAAAGATACACTGAGCTACATCAGAAAATATCACGTAAAGACTTTAAAGTACCATTGTTCTTTCTTTCACCTTTCTGGATACCTTTGGAAAGAAATAATCTCAAGCACATAGAAACTACTTCACACAGAAAGTACATACATATTAAGCAACCTTTCACCAGTTAACTTGCAATAGTCCTCATTAAATAAATCACCAAACCTTTAAATATCTTAGGAATAATAAGGAACCTGACAAAACCCTTGGCTTCAGGGAAAACAAAGGTACTTTGTTCACATGGAAATGTTATTTTTTATTAATTTACTTAGTTTGGTTTTTTGAGACAGGGTCTCCCTATGCAGCCCAGGGTAGACTGAAACTCACAGTGATCCTCCTACCTCAGCCTCCCAAGTGCTGGGATTACAGGTGTGTATGATCACACCCAGCTGGAAATGTTATTTTAGAGGAAAAAAAGCCACAAAAATGAAAAACTTACTGAAGATACTGAAATCAGCTCCCTGCCACCCGCCCAATGCTCGGGATTGAACACAGGGCCTAGCAAGAACTCTACTGCTGAGCTACACCCTTAATCCCTTAAGCAGCTACATGAAGGATTTTCAACTTTGGCTGAAGTTTGGTTTGCTGAATCAGCTAAACAGGAAATACAGTTTAGAATCTTTTTCTAAATATCCTGACTCTAAAAGTGTTCTCAGCTAATGAATTTTAGATTTTTTATTTTTTGCTACAGCAGTTACCTTGTTACTAATACTACTATACCAGCTACTGCTAAGATTGGAGAACTTATATATAAAATTTTAGTGGATAATAAAAGTCATGATTTTTTTCTTTTAATTAACAAAACTCAAAATCAGGCCTCAGATGACTTCATGATAGAAAACTGGATCCTCCCTGTATTAGTAGTTCCAATTGTGTAGTGTAGGTTATAGACCCACTAATGGCCTATGAGAATTTGAAGATGTTTCCAACCAAATCCTTACTATGCTGCATTTACTGAAAAGTAGCAGCTTTTTGGGACCTCAACTTTTAATGGCCTTTTCCCAACAACTAGTATTGGATATTGTATAACAGGGGTGAAAGCCAGTTAGTTGGTCAATTTCAGGTGGGGCCTCTAATTGTGCATATTTCTCTTGTAAAACTGAATGATAAAAAAAGTATAATTTACATAGTCCTAAAAAGAACAACAGTGTCTCAATTTCCTGAATAAAGATGGTAGTGATCTGGTACAAGCCTAGATTGAGAAAAACAATTTCAAAATGATGGATCCTGAAGTTAGAAAAATTGCATTAAATAGCAGCTAACATAGATCTACAATTTTAAAAAGCCACTAACAGTATACTGGTAGTGAAAAGATTAATTTATCAAGGTGGTACATATGTATAAGTCAGTGGTTTTCAAACATTTCAGATCGTAAACTCATAATAAAGTATGTAATGGCTTCATGACCCAGGTCAAACACAAACACATATAGAACTGAAATGAGCTAGGCATGGTGGCACACGCCTGTTATCCCAGCACTCAGGAGGCTGAGGCAGGAGAATCGTTGCCAGTTCAAGGCCAGCCTGAACTGCATAGTAAGACTCTGTCTCAAAAAGAGACCAAAAAACCTCAAAGCAAAGCAAAACAAAACAAAACAAAAAAAACTGAAACAAGTTTCTTAAAATAATACCTACCCTTACTATAGAGTATGGACTGAAATCTTTTATTATAGTCTCATTAAAAAAAAAATACTGGTTTTGCCTATTAAATATATTAAAACTACCAGTTTGAAAAACAGTGGTCTAGATTTTTTTTTTTTCCCCGGTACCGGGAATCAAACTCACGACCTTGCGCTTGCCAGGCAGGCGCTGTGCCGCTGAGTTAAATCCCCAAGCCCCTATTTTTAAAAGTCTTGCATTTTGCATTCAAATCTTACCTCTTGCAACAATTACTTTAGATTTGGCAGATGAAAAACTTTTTACTTACACCAACTTTCTATCAAAGGAATTACCTTTCCCCACATGTCCATACCAAATCTAACCACAAATCACAGCTGATGGTGTATAGGGACAGGCGTTTTTGTTTTCTTTTTACAGCGCTGGGGATCAAACTCATGCACGCTAGCCAAGTGTTTTGGCAGTAATATCCTAGCATAGGCCAGAGGTTTAATGTGTTTGATGGTGTCTTAAGATTAAAGATATTCCAGAGTTTACCATACATTTCACAGGGTACCCCCTGCACTACAAGCATTCAATTATTCAGTCATATTGTCTGGCTGATTTATATGAGAGTTCAGTTCTGTTGAGTAGTCTGTGTTAACAAAGTGAGTTCAAACTTGTGAAATGACTACTATGGACATAGTCATATCCATAATAGCCCTCTCATGAATAAAATTAAATTTCTTTCACTGCATTTCAACAGCCTGGCACTGACAGATTCCCTCTGTCAGCTGGTCTTCCAATGTGAGTGTAAGTCCTGGAGTATCAGCATCAGCTATCATTTCTGCCAACATAGAACTCTCTGGATTTGTTAGTCACTAATTTATGCTTGCTGATCTACTCTGTAAAAATTATACTGTGATGATCCAGCATCTCTCTATGAGGAGGCAAACTTTCTTTACAGTTGCAGCAGAGTGAAGAGGAGCAGGAAAAGAGGATACAAGACAGCAGGGATAAACGTACCTGGTTTAAATGGGAATGTGATCCCGTCACCAGAACTATCAGTGGAACCTGAATTAGCATCTACTCCTTCACCCTCAGAAATACTCTCAGCACCATTACGCACAGGCTCAGCTTCTTCTCCGTTTTCTTCCACAGTTTTCACCTTTTTTAGGTCAGAGGGCTCTCCTTCAGGATGAAACCCTTGGCTCATTTTATCTTGTTCAGATTCAAGTACTCTGTCAATTGAAAACTCCTCTTCAGCTTTAGGCTAAAGCATAAGTGAACACAGAAATTACATTTCTTCTCACACATGTAAATATACATAAAATTCTATAACTACCCCTTCAAAGTCATGAGAAAACATATCATTCACGATAAAAACATCTGTGTTCAGCATATAGTACTAAAGTGGTAGGTTTTTAAAAAACAGTTTAACTCCTTTCACCACCTAAGATAAGGCAAACAATTCAACTGGCTATTAAAATGTTTTAACATATGACTAATGAAATCCAAATGTACCAACGGTTAGAATGGAAAGAACTGTTAATCCTGGGAACTTGATGGACATGAAAGAATCCTAGTCAGAAATCTAAAACAAGCACTCCTCCTCCTGCCACTAGAGCTCTACAAATATAAAAAGAAACAATATGGAGTGTATTTTTGTGCTGTCCCCGGCTGTGAAATGGAGAGTTTGGAGAATCGTTTTAAGTGTCTACATTCTATAAAGATGATCACATCTCATCTGACAAGGAGGCTACTTGTTAGTTTAAAATCTACTTTGCACATTAGTTTTTAGATTCTTTGAGGTGATACAGTAAATATGTGTACACACATATACATATATGGCAGAAAAAAAATCATATAAAGAAAAAACGCTCAGAACACATCTACCTAGGGAAACATCTGGGTTCAAAAGTATCAAGTCTATTTTTTTTTTTTTTTTTTTCTCCAGTACCGGGAACCGAGCTCACGACCTTGCGCTTGCGAGGCAGGCGCTTTGCCACTGAGCTAAATCCCCAGCCCCTTCAAGTCTATTTTTAAAGGCAAAAAAAAAAAAGAAGCTATCGTTCAGATGATTTTTTACTATCTTCATGTTAGATATCAAACCAAATGGCTTCTGAAGGTCCTCACAGGGTATCAGATAGCTGGAAGCAAAGTTCTCTGAAATTTAAGTTTCTTTTCCATGAAGGGGCACTGTGAATACAGTTCTGGAACAAGTATTTAGATGAAAGAGGAATTCCACTTGATACCTTCATGCTAGAAGAGCCAAAAATTTGGGTGCTTGAATAGAGCACTTTTTAAAAGCGTCCTAAATCCTGGGAGAAAGTTCATTCCAACTGCTCTATGAAAAAAACACTTCAAAAATTGTAGTAATAAATCTTACTTTGTTAATTAAGAGAACTATTTTAAAAGGTATAGATAAATACTGGTAAATTTTCTTTTTTTTTTTTTCTTTTTTTTTTGGTTTTTCTCCGGTACCGGGAACCGAACTCACGACCTTGCGCTTGCCAGGCAGGCACTTTTGCCACTGAGCTAAATCCCCAGCCCCCAGATACTGGTAAATTTTCTGTCATACATTAGATCACAGAGAAAAGACACTGAAGTTTGAAATGTTATTAGTAGGAATAGACGGTTTTTAAGGTCCTGATTCTATAACGACAGAACGAAGTTCAGAGAAATATACACAAACACACACAAATGCCTGTGGGAAGAGAGAGTATGGAAAATATACAAAGAAAGTATAAAATTCTAAGAAATCAATATCAGGCAATAATTCCTTTTTGTAAAAATAGCAGAAAGTAGGCATATTCTAAACTTTGAGTAAAACAGATCTGCTGAAATTGGATCATGAATCAGCAGCCTCACTTTTAAAAATTACATACTCTGTTATAGTCTAAGTGAACGCATAATGACTTTCAAATACATATGATTAAGCATAGGTTTTCAAGATCCTCCCTTCCCTCTGTGGCTCAGGCTAGTCTGGAACTCCTGGACTCAAGTGATCCTCCAGTCTCAGTCTAAACTAAAGGTCCAACCTTACTACACTACTCTAACCTCACAGAGCAAGATCTTTAAGAATTCAAGGCATAAATATGTAAATGGTACTAAAGAACAGGAAAACTACATTATATATATAAAATGATGTAGACTTCTTCAGATCTTATAAAATGTGAAAAAAAAATTAGGAAAAATGGAGTTCTCTGTATCTAAAATTGGTAACAACACATAAATAGAGGCTATATTACTTGGAAATTCAATTTGTCACTGCAAAAAGCAGCATAAAGAATCTTGTCACATGAATAACAAACCATAATTCAAAGAACACAGAATCACTGAAGAGGCTGAGGCACAGTATAATGAGGAATAATTGACAGGATATAGAAAATTTAAATGTACATGGTGATTATTTTTCTTTCAGCAGGGTGAAATCATATCAAACCAGTCTGAAAGTATCTGAACAGTTCCTAAAAAACTAGATTGAAGAAAAAGCACCTCATTGGCTGTATGATCCACGGTGAATCTTTTATAAGAACCTGTTAAAAATGAAGTTACACTGCCTGTGTATTTTAATACAGTGTTTTTAAAGCACATGAAAAATTGAGAAGTGATGAATGAAATGAAGAACTGAAGACTGATAAAATATCCTAAAAATTTTAAACAAATTTTATGATGCCTCAATCAGCAATTTTATTTAGTTAATTTATTTGCAGTGTTAGGAGACAACTACCAATTTAAAAATGAACCATCCTTTTACTACTTTTCTAGGCTATAGTTTATAGGTTGTGTCTAAAACAATTATTTTTAAAGACTGAGAAAATAAAGTAAGAATGGGAAGGTTTGATCAATGGAAATGAGAACAAAAGTGTCTGATATTTACTAACATACCTAATCAAGTATTGTTATTTTAGGAAAGGCAAGGGCTAGGATTCCAAGACGATGACCAAATACTTTTAAAATTTTACTTTTAAACCATAAGATTAGGAGATAAGTGCCTGTTTCAAAATCAGTCAACGCCGTAGGGATCATCTCTGGCTCACCACTTGTTTATGTAAAGGATGCAAGGTAAGAATGGTTTCTGTATTTGTAATGACTGAAAAAATTTGGGAAATACATTTCATGCCACATGAATTTAAATGTCAGTGGCCATCAATAAAGTTTTACTGGAATATAACATGTCAGGAATCACACAGTCCACAGGCCTAAAATATTTACTACCTAAAGCTGCATGGAAAAATTTATCCTTCAAGCTAAAGAACAGGATCAATATCTGAAGGCATGGGAATGGTGGCCCATCCATTTAATACTCAATAACTAGGAATTTAACCTTACTGCAAAGGAACATGATGTATAACAGAACAAACGAATAAAAAACCAGTTGAATCTAAAGGGAAACCAGTTTATGAAGCTTACAGCCATACCAGGAATGCATGTGAATCCCCTGCCCCTAGAAGGTATTTTATTCTCTGTAGAAGCATCATTTTCTTGTTCAGCTGCAAGAAAAGTGCAGCAACTATTTACATCTCTATAAGTGCTGATTCTTATCCCCTGATAACCACAATGAATTCACACCTGCTCAACATTTTAGTGGTTGCTATGGTACTAACTGTGACACCAACAGAGCATCATCGAAGAGCAATGACAGGACAGGAGAGAAACAAAGGGGTGCTGTTAGCTATGTAAAGAGGATAAAAACTTTAATTAGCTAGGGGAAAAAAAACCCTTATAGAAGCTGGGTGTGGTGGCACATGCCTATAATCCCAGCACTTGCGAAACTGTGAGACTGTGGCAGAAGGATCGTAAGTTCAAGGCCAGTCTGGACAATTAGCAACTTGGTGAGACTCTGACTCAAAAAAAAAATTTTTTTAAAGGGTTGGGTATATAGGCCAGCAGAAAGGCCCTGTCTTCAGTTCCCAGTATTTGGGACAGGGAACAAGTAAAAACTTGTTGGGCAATCGTTAGGACTAAATTCCTTTTTGTTTATCATATCACCTCTTAGATGTGGTAGCTTATTTTAAGATAGATAAACCACAGGAGGAAAGATTATACTACTGGGATTAGGCAAAAGAACAGATTCACACTAAATTTCCCTAAATTATACTTGGTGTTTCTTTTTCTCTTTTTTTTTTCCTTTTTGGAGACAAGGTTTCACTATGCCGCTCAGGCTGGCCTTGAACTCACTTTGTAGCCCAGGTTGGCTTCGAACTTGCAGTGATCCTCCTGCCTCAGCCTCCTGGGTGCTGGGACTACAGGAGTACACTACCACACTTGGCCCATATTTTCAAGGAAAGACAAGAATTCAATGAAATTAATCATGTTATTAAATTTTTTATTTAGACCCTACTCAATATGAACTTTAAAACTTAGTCTCTCTGCTTGATATATCAAGTTTTGCTTAGAAAATGGTATCTCAAGAAAGAAGAATAACTTCTCACCAGTCTTATGAAATGGCATCACTGAGTTGAAGATAAGCTAAAGAGTTCTTCTGTCCCTTACCTCCAATTCTGCCTCTAAGACTTCTTCAGTGGTTCTGGTCCGATCTTTTGGTTTCTTCCACATCTTTGGTACAGTCGTAATTGTTTGAGCTGAAACACAAGATTAGGTGCATTATTCATCACTGGAAAGTCATCCTAAGAGTAAGTAGGTCTAAATGATACCTGTACCCAAATTCAGCATAAGAGAAGACTTCTCCTACACCAAGGAGACAGTTGCATGATAAGTGAACAACTGTGTAGAGCCAGGGGACTGTAATGACAAATGTCTCAGGCAGAAACTCATAATTTTCCAAGCAGTGGCCTAGACTCTTCCCTATTTTGTGGGAAGACACATTTAAGGCATATAATGTGGTATAACCTGGGTATCCCTAAAATGAAAATCCAAAATTGGAGCATTTCAGATTTTCAGTTTAGGAATGCTCATCAGTAAATATTCCTAAACTGTAAAAACTCTGGAATCTAAAACACTTCTGGCCCAAGCATTTCAGATAAGAGATACTCAAACTGAATGCACTAAGCATCTATATAAGAAAAATGCCTTGGATGAATTCTAGATCTACGTCTATTTCTATTTAACAAGTTTTGCAGTCTTAAACTTAAGTTATACTTCTCAGGTCCCTGCATAATTTTACTATAAAGCAAAAGAATGAGAACGTATTGGTAAGGATCTTCTAAGCTATAAAGTATTTTGTTCAGGATTCATTTTTTTAAACTTCCCAGACAACAAAAAGACACTTTAAGGTTTCACTAGATGGGCAGCAATTCCACAAAATTCACTTGCCATCTCAGATCAATACCACTGGCCTAATCTTTCATACACCTGGAATGAAAAATTAAGAAACCAGTTACTTTTTACTGGATTACTCTACTGTATCAGAAATTCTAAATGGAAGGTAGAGCTCCAATCCCCTGCTTTTTATTACAGTGCTGGGGACCGAATCAAGGGACTCAAGCAAAGAGGTAAGCAAGTACTGTACCACTGAAATAAAACCCTGTCCCTTAAAGGACTTTTAAAAATTCATTTGGCTTATAAATTCCACAGAATTATTCAACACTTAGATATAAAATCTAACTAAATTAATCATCAGATAGTAAAAAAAAATATAGAAAATATTAAAAAGATCTCATAGAGGACAACTTATGGATCAACAGACAAAATCAAGTTGTTATAAGCCAAATAAGCCAATGGGTGAGAAGAGTCTAAGAAAAGTTAGTAGAAATATTACGAAAAGGAACAAATAACCTGAAACATAGCATCTAACCTGACTCCCTACAAAAATGCAAGGTCATTCACTGAGACTCTGTTTTTTTGTTTGTTTTTGTTTTATTTTTGAGACAGGGTCTCACTAGGCTGGGCTTAAACCCACTATGGAGCCCAGGCTGGCCTCAAACTCCTGTTACGGCAGAAATTCCCCGGGCACAAATTGGGCTGTATTCCACAAGAAAACCCGAGTCTATTGAGAACAAACCAGAGTTTATTTGAGGCTAGCCACCCTCACTTCCCTTGCCAATCTGGAAGAGGGCCGATGGCCAACTTTGTTTCACCTTATATACATTTTGGTTTCCACTGGCAACAGATTGGGATGGTACATTTGCTGACCCCGGTGGGCATATGGTGTTTCGCTCTGCCTGTTGGACCCCAGGTCAGTTGCAGGTTGCATGTCTAACCATGACAGATGTTTCCCCGTTACATTCCATTTGTCTCCTTTTTTACAACCTATGCATTCCTTTAGTGTTACAATGTTTACCTAGGGCCAGGAGATGGAACTGCCCAGGCAGGGTAACGGAGGGTTACCTAGGCCTAGGCGCCCCCTTATCCTGGGGAGACATTCCTGGGCAGTGTTGATCTGGGGAATTAGCTCTTACACTGTCCCGGGAGGCTTCCCAAGGCACCATGTAGGCTTTTACCAAAACTATTTTATCTAAAATAATATGCTAAGATTCATTGCCCCCTACAATCCCCTTGCCTCAGCCTCCCAAGTGCTGGGATTACAGGTATGTGCCACCATGCCCGGCTCATTGAGACTCTAGCACAGCCTTAAATCTTTTTTTTTTTTTTTTTTGGTAGAAGAATGGAACGTGAATGCATAAATTATTTTTGGAAAAAGGGAGATATTTAATAATTTTCAAATTTATGGCACTATAATAAAAATACTCTGTAAATCTTTGAACACACCTCAAACCAACTTTTCCCCTTGGGGACCATAATAAACAAGCAAACATCACTAGATCAGCTGTTATTCTTCCTTTGTGGCCTGCTCAAGGTAACCATTTTCTCAAACTATGCGAACTACAGGTGGGTTTCAACTTACTGTTGTATCATTGCCTTCTACTAAACATGTACATTTTGTAGCTGTCTATTTTGGGGGGATTTTCTGATTTGATACAACCAATCTATTATATTGATTTTTTATTTTTAAATTTTTTGTCATTTTGAGACAGGGTTTCACTATGCAGTTCAGATTAGTCTTGAACTCACTTTGTTGCCCAAAGTGGCCTTGAATTCACAGCAATCCTCCTCCTGCCCCAGCCTGAGTGCTGAGATTACAGGTGTGTACTACTATGCCCATCTAGTCTGTTTTAAAAGTATCCTCCAAACATGCTTTTGATTTTTAATTCTGCTCCCATCATTTTCAGAGTCATGGAGTTTAGAGATCTGTTCATTTTATTTCAAATTTTGTATTATTTCACTTTTGAATTCAGCTTCAAATTCTATTCACAGAAAAGGGGACACTCATTTTTTGGAAGATTTCCTAAGATCAAATATAAACTCAGAAGTAGTTTTCTCTACACAATTAAAAACCAAAGTAAGATGTAGCTAAGGTTTTCTTTCTATAACTATTATCAACTATATTTAACCCAAAACATTAAACAAAGCATTTCTTCCATGAATAATACCACACATTTAAGATTTTTAAAAACTGCTTACCTAGTAGGAATTGTTTATTTACCTTGTTGAAATGGCTAACGTCTTGTTTTAAGACTTTAAAGTAGAAATTCAAAAAAAGAGGTGGACAGGAAAGAGTACATGGTCCTTTAAGAGATACACAGTCTTTTTAAAATCAAGAACTGATGCCTAGCAAAACTATGCTATATAGCCTCTTTCCTATCATTACTGGCAGGAAGTGCAGTAAAATTTGGATGTGTTGGGTGAGAAGGGAGGAAGAAAAGAAAGCAGAGATGAGGGAAAGGAGGGTCAGTGGGAGAGAGAGAAGACAGGAGACAAGAAGAGAGAAGAAAGGAGAGAGAAGAGGTAAAGAACAGAGGAGAAGGAGAGAAGAAGAGAGGAGAGAGGAGAAAAGAAAGGAGAAGAGGAGAGAAGAGAAGAAAGGGGAGAGAGAGAAAGGGAGACGGAGGCAAACTGATTTATAACACAATTCCAAAGTAGTTAAAATATGAGGATTAAATTTAAGATATGGTCACAGATTTATTCTTTCCTTTCAACTCCAATGCAGTCTGGGCAGTTAGATTTGTTGACTGCACAAGTAATACTAGTTCTATATAAAAGAGATATTAGTATTTTTGCAGAGCAGAAGAATAAACATCAAGCTTCACACAAGCTAGGCAAGCACTCTGCCTCTGAGCTCTAAAAGAGGCATTACTGACATTCTCAAGGAAAAGATATGGTTTGTTTTATAGTTTCTTGCATGAAAGCATCCCAGGACAAGTGACAATCTCTGCATGGGATTCAGAATTACCTGAAATTAAAGATGCTTAAAGAAGCCTCCATAAATACTAAATTCACAGTTGTATTTAATTTCTACTACTATGAAAAATAAGTAAGACAACAACAACAAAAACCACTCCTCATAACTTTTTTTTTATCAAATGAATACACAAATTTGGAAAACTACTGGGGATATAGGCAAGTTTAACTGTTCGGTTTTAGTAAGATTCTTTGTCTTCTCTCCACAGAGGTTTTGAATTTACGTCAAAGATTGCATGAAGTTAAGAATATTCTCATTTTCAACTCCATCCCTAGGTATGGCATACTGAGCCCCCAAACTGAGCCATCAAACCTGACAATGACTTCAAGATCAAACTACAGAATAGTCATATTTTCCTGGTACCTGTAAAGAGCCTGACAAACCATCCCCATAGATGCAAGCTATTATTTTAGCATAGATGCAATGCTATTATTTTTCAGTGACTTTTCATATGGGTTCTACTGGAGTAAAGTCTCTATGCTTATAAACTAAGATCTAACAAGGATACCTTCACAACCTAGAAGATAAACAATGATCTAGGAGAAAGGGGTTGGGGCTAATGCAAAAGGTGTATATATTTACTAGTTTTTATTAAACCCATGAATCATTTTAAGAAAGTTTTCCCCAAACCTTGAAAAAAATTACTCAAAAAAGCTTTCTGTGAAATGCTACCTTTCAGAGAAGAGCAGAGAGAAGTTAGAGACAGCCATATAATACATCCTGAGGATATAGCGCATTCTGAGGAACTGCTCTGTGTAAAAACATGATCTAAAACATGTACTCTCTCTTTCTTTGCAGGAGCATTATCGCCTAGAAAAACTCCAGATAATTAACTCATGGTTTTTAGCCTGAAGTCCCAACTTAAAGGGATGTCAGATATGTACAGTAAGTATAAAGATAACAAATATTGCAACTATCACTGGTATAATGTTCCCTAATACAGAACATTTAATCTATTTTTTCTAATCATAAATAAGATATATCACTAAAGAACTATTATAGACAGATATAAAGTTGCAAAAATTGTTTTTCCTTTTTAAAATTAAAAGCCATTCATCATGGGGAATTGGTACATATACGCATTGAATCTTTATCCTTTTTACTTCCCTTTTTCTTCCTCTCTCATCTTTCCCATGTAAAAAACTGTCTCACTTTGGCCTGTTTTCTTCCTAGCATTTAAAAAGTATAATTACATGCATACTGTACACTTAGTTTTATAATCTTTTTAAAAAACTGAACTTCAAACAAGAATTTAAACCTTTATGGTTTCACTTTGAAGATATCAATATGTAATACAACAAGCATTGTTAATTTCCTACCACTTTGTTTGTAACTCTGTATTGTCTGTACTGTTCTTTTGCTATCTTGTAAAAGGTTGTCTGTGTGTTAATGTTTTCCCTCTTTTATTTTTAAAATAAAAAAAATAAAATAAAAAAATAAACTTTTATGGTTTTGATGTTTTACTATAGGAATCACCCTAACAAATCAACTCTGTCAAAATCCCTATCATTCAGTCTGCTAAATTTGATTAAGCTGCTAAAAGTTCATGATTACTATTTTGAAAAAGGATAATGTAAAAATAAATCGTAAGAGACAGTTAAAAGTTTAGAAAAGATGTAAAAGGAAGTGAAAAACAGTAAAAAGAGCTAAAAATTCATGATTTTAAAAACCAAGTCTTAAACCAGGGATAGTGGCACACGCTTGTAATATCACTTGGGAGGCTCAGGCAAGACTGCCATGGTTCAAGGCCAATATGGGCTACATAGTGAGTTCAAGGCCACCCTGAATGAACTACATACATTCCTGTCACCGCCCCCTCAAATAAATAGGATCAGAGGGGGGTAAAAATCTTACTAGTCTAGGGAAAGTCCACATAAAGTTAAACTTGTTAAATTATCAGATCTACTGATAAGGATCAAATCACAGCACAGAGGTTTATGAACTATTCTTTGTGGCAAAGAGTTTGCATAAAACTAAATGACATTAAATTAGGGTTTCAAAAAATAGATTAGAGGGCTGGGGAGGTAATTTTAGTGGTGCAGTGCTTGCCTAACATGCATGAGGCCCTGGGTTTTACTGGGAGGGGTGGGGGGATTAATCACGTTAATGATAAAAAATGGAAAAAGAAAAGTATAACATTACATTAACACTACATTTATAACCATACAAAATATTACTGTAAAAACTGGAAGGAAATGAAGAACACTTTAATGTTAATACTGCAATTACATATTTGAATAATGGGTACTATTTTTCTGTTCATCAATATCTGTAATAATTTTAAACTGTGCAAAATAAAAAAAGTGAAGCTTTTACAATTTTTATTTACTGTTTCTCATTCTGTTTTATAGACTAAAGTTGAATTTTTTCCCTGTAGATTTTAGGTCAGATGCTCTTAAATACAATCAAACTTTTTTTTTTTTTTGGTATGTGGTGATGGGGATAGATCCCAGGGCCTCAATCATGTTAGGGAGTGAGAGCTCTTTTATCAGTAAGTTATACCGTAAGCCCTAGACTAAGTCTTGGAACTATTAATTTCACTAAGAACATTATACTTTTGCATATGATTTTGATCTCCTTAGTACCTAGAGAACTCATGGAGCTCTCAAGATAGTACAAGCTGAGCATTCCTTATTTAAAAAATCTGAAATCTGAAAACGTTACCCAATAAAAGGCTCAAAACATTTTAAATTTTGGAACATTTCTGATTTTAGGAGGACTGCTCAACCAACAGTCTATGCAAATATTCAACATCCAAAACTCTGAAACTGGAAACACTGCTGGTCTCAAGTATTTTGGATAAGAGGTAACTATATTGATTCTGCACTAGAAAAAAAAAAAAACAAACAAAAACCCCAAACCAAAAAAACTCAGCCAGGTTTGCAGGTTTGGTGGCACACACCTGTAATTCCAGCTACTGGGGCAGCTGAGGCAGGAGAATTATAAGTCTGAAGTCAGCTTGGACAACTTAATGAGATAACTAGAAAAATAAAATTTAAAAAGTGGGGGATGTAGTGGAAGAATGCATATGCATCATGTGCAAGGTCCTGGATTTAACACAGGTTCTCTATATATTTATGATTCCACACATTAAAAGAATGTAAGAGATCATTACACATGACAAATAACCTTTAGTCCCAAGGTATTCTATTAGCTATGCAACATAAACCTGAAAGAAACTTCTAATAAAAGATGTTGGTAAACTTAATTTTGCTTCTTTTTACTAGATCACTCATTAATCAAGTAAGCTGTAAAGATTTAAAACTTTTTTCATTTTTTTTCTGGTGCAGATCTTTTCTTGTTTCTTTTTATTAGATTTTTGGTTAGAGAAAATTGCACAGATGGCCTCTGACTTTGTAACAATTGCTTTAACAGTATTTAAAATTTACAGTAGTATGAAAGCTCTTGTTTTCATTAGAAACTGTACTTTAAACTTTGATCATTTCACGGGCTAGTGATATCCAGTACAATACTCTTCTGAGAAACTGTGTAGCACCAAAAATCTTAGCCACTTGATGGCAAAGGTGGGAAACAGCAAGACACTCTACAGTGCATCCTGCTTGTAAGGTATGATACTTGGTAGGTTAAGTGCGTTAGATGCACTTTTGACTTACAGTAGTTTATTTTTGGGGGGAAGGCCTGTTGGGAATTGAGTAGGGGGCTTTGTGCATGCCCGGCAAGCTCCCTACCACTGAGCTACAACCCCAACCCCAATATTTTCAATTTTTAATGGTATTAAATCCTGAAAAACTCCTTCCCTATAAACCCCATGATAAGTTAAATATCCCTTTGACATCTACATAAATCTTTTCAAAAGAAATGCTTTCATCAACATTTATAACTTAGGAACGTTTAACAGGCTATAAGTCACTGCTTTTGATTAGTATGTATTTGTAATAAACCATAAATACATTCACTGTGGTAAACTGGTACATATATGTATCATATCTTGATCCTTTTTACTCTCTGAAATTCAAACATCATAGAAGACCGTTTTCTCTCCCTGTTGCCATGGGAATTTCACAGAGGCACCTGACTCCAGTAACTACTTGCTTCTTATAAAGATGTGAAAAGCTTTATTTTTCATTAAGATAAAAGCAACTAACTAGCAGATGATCATCAAATTACTAAAAGAATTTAGGACAAATTAAATTCCTTTTATAGCATTATTATTAGAACATGTATGAGAGGCTGACGTAGGAGGAATGTAAGTTCGAGGTCAACCTGGACAACTTAGCTAGACCTTGTCTCAAAATTTAAAAGGAGAGCTGAGTGCGGTGGCACATGCTTGTAATCAATCCCAGCATTCGGGAAGCTGAGGCAGGAGGACTGCCATGAGTTCAAGGCCAGCCTGGGCTACATAGTGAGTTCAAGATCAACAGGGACTACAGAGCAAAACCTTGTCTCAAAAAACTAAACCTTAAAAAAAAATTTAGAAAGAGATAGGGATGTAGCAGCTGGGTAAGAAGGTCCTGGGTTCAATCCGTTACTGAAAACACAAACAAAACAGATCACATATGTAATGGATTATAATCTGCCTGGCTAGATGAGTGAAATTTCTTTCATTCTGCAATCTCTGACTGTTTACTCCATTTTTGTATTATTATTCAATTATTCAATAATAAAATTGTTTTCTTGTTGTTTTATACTTGTGAAGATGACTTTCTGGGTTGGCAGATTATTTTAATTTTAATTTTATTTTTTAAAATTTTTCCCCAATACTATATCTTGGTAATGAGAAGAGAAGGCTTGGTAGTGTATGAACCCAGTAGACTGGCTGAACATCTTGTGACTCATAGGCGCCAGGCAAGACCTCTTAAATTATAAAAAGTCTCCCTTCTAGAGCTCCATTCTTTTGGAATACAACATGAACTCCCTAAATATAAGACTTGAAATCATTGTGTCCAGAACATAGGGCTATGGACTGAGTGACATAAAACTAAGGCTGTGAAGACTTATCAAGTACTGATACTTCATTGTTGGTGAGGGAAAGGCCTAGTACATTGTCACACGGTTGTAAAGAAACAGAGTAGAATGTTCTAGAATAGAATCTTCCAAGAGTTCCTTGCTGAATACTTGATTTTCATCCCTTCTTACTCATTTCTGACTTTTTTTTATCTTATTCTTTCCTTCATTCAGCTTTCAAATCATACAGCTTAGCACTAAATCATTCTGACTATATCACATTCTAGAGTTTTGATCCAAGTTTACATAGGCTATGGATCCTATTCTGTCCTCATCCCCGATATTTTTTTTTCCTTTCAGAAATCCCCTTGGGAATTTAGAAAAAATGTCATGCTTTACCTAGGGAACTGGTGCAACACAAAGAAGAAACCCAGGTAAGAGAAGAATAAGTTTCACAGTGAAGATGTAAATGAACTGGCAAAGGATCATAATGCTAATACACAGAGACACAATGGTGACATGTAAGAATTACTGATTACGGATTACTGAGAGATGCCAGCTGAAAGAAATACCAGAGAGTAAGTCTAACATTGTTTGTCCCACATCTTTTCAGGTGTTGCTACTTGAAATGTATAGTGGCTTGGTATTTATGATTCCATTATATGTCAAAAGCAGACTTTCTGCTTTATGATAAGAATCTTGACTAATGCGAGCTAGTCTCTGTAGGATCTAGAACAGGAAATTTAAAAGAAGTATAATAAAGGAGAAACTGAGGTTCAAATTCTATAAAAATAGGTATCTATAACACGATTTAAATGCTTCTACTTTGCGCTTTAACATTAAAACATCATCAAAGTAAAAGGCAAACTAAGTTTATTTTTATTGATACTCTGCATTTTGGTTTCACTGATTTTTCTATTTTCCATTTCATTTACTTCCTACCCTACCTTTATTATTTTCATTTTTCTACTTCCTTTGGGTTTTATTGGCTCCTCTTAATACTTTCTTTATGTACAAGCTGAAGTCAACAACTTGAGAACTTTTTTCTTTTCTAATATAGGCAGAGTTAGTGGTACACATTTCCATCTAAATATTGCTTTAGGTGTGTGGCAGGTAGAATTAAGAGACCAAAAGTGTCTGTGGCTTAAACCATGACACCTATGAATATGTAACACTGCAAGGCCAAAAAGACTTTGCTGATGTGATATAATTAAAGATTTTAAGATGGGGAGAATATTATCCTAGATCAGTGATGGCAAACCTTTTTAGAGCTTTCACTGATACAGCCTGCTGTGGCACATGTGCCATAGGTTTAGCACCACTGCCCTACATTAACCCAGCAGACCAGGAATCAGGAAAACCATAGCAATCTGAAGATGCTATGTTGCTGGCTTAGAAAATGGAGGAAGGGGCTCCACTCCAGCCAAGCTGCCTCTAAAGGATAAGATTCTTCCATAGAAGAAACAAAGAAGGGCTGGGGATATAGCTCAGCAGCACAGCACCTGCCTGGCAAGCTCAAAGTCATGAGTTTGATTCCCAGTACCAAAAAAATGAAAAGAAACAGAGGAAAACTCCAGAGGAAACACAGACTTGATAATATCTCCATTTTAGCCCAGTGAAACTCCTCTTGACTCTGAACTTCAAAACTGTTAAGATAAATGAATGCAAGATACACCCCACAAATTTTGTTATGTTGGATTTTCATTTGTATTCAGTTCGAAGTACATTATAATTGCTGTTATTCTTTGGCCTTTGAGTTACACAGAAATGTTATTTAGTTTTTAAATATCTGGAGAATTTTTCCAGAGGTATTTTTCTTGCTGACTTCCAATTTAATTGCACTGTGGAGAGAGAACACATCTGCTTTTGACTTGGATTGTTTTAAATTTATTAAGACTTGTTTCATTTATCACAATATGGTGTATTTTGGTAAGTCTGTGAGGTGTCTTGAAAAGAATGAATGTCTTGCTGTTTGAGAGTTAAGTGTCAAATACGCAGTGTTGAGTGATTATGCTGTTAGATCTTCCATATCCTTACTACTTTTCTGTCTACGGGCTCTGTCAACTGTTTTCCACCTATGTCAATTCCTTGTCTTGGTAGTAATAGTACTTAGTGACTAAAGTGATTTTGTCTGCAAATTCTACCATGGTAGTTATGACTTATTTTCTCTTCACTACAAGTTACATTTTTTAAAAAAGACTAGTGAATTCTACCTAACACTACTGTACATGAGAAAGAAACACTTTCTAACTTAAGGTCAGCATTACTCCGTTACCCAAATATGAAAATTTCCAAATACTACAGCCCAATGTCCCTCATGGATTTAGATGACAGGGAAAACACTGAACAGGATTTTAGCAAGTAAAGTGAGAAAAATATACTATGAACCAAAATTTCTCTTTTTTTTCTTTTGGTGACACTGGGATTGAACTCAGGGCCTCATGCATGCTATTCAAGCACTCTACCACTGAGCTATATCCCTAGCCTTTTAAAATATTTATTTTGAGACAAAGTCTTCCTAAATTACCCAGGTTGATATCTTTCATCATGCACTACATTAAAACTGAAATGGATCAAAGATCTAAATATTAAAACAAAAACATTAAAACTTCTAGAGGACAGACTAGGTAGAACTCTTGAAGACACTGGTGTAGGCAAAGACTTTATCAAAAAAACCCCAACTGCATAGGAACTATCACAAAGAATCTACAACTGGGATCTCATCTTATTAAAAAGCTTTGTACAGCAAGAGAAACCACTAACAGAATGACGAGACGACCTACAGTGTAGGAAAAAAGTTTTGGCAGTTGTTCCTCAGATAAAGGATTACTATCTAGAATATATAAAGAACTCAAGGGGCTGGGGATTTAGCTCAGGGGCAAAAGCGCCTGCCTGGCAAGCGCAAAGTTGTGAGTTCGGTTTCCGGTACCGGAGAAAAACAAAAACAAAAACAAACAAAAAAAAAAGAACTCAAAAAAGTCAGACCCTACGAATTTAAAGACCAAATCCAAAAATGGGAATCTGAGATGACTAAACACCTCTCAGATGAAGTACAAACAGTAAATAAATATATGAGAAAACGTTCAACATCACTAGTCATTGGAGAGATGCAAATTAAAACAATGCTAAGATTTCATCTCATCCCAGAAAGAATGGTTATTATCAACAAATCAACCAATAACAAATGCTGGAGAGGCTGTGGGGGAAAAAGGAACCCTTCTCCACTGTTGGTGGGAGTGTAGACTGGTGCAACGACTGTGGAAATCAATGTGAAAATTCCTCAAAAAAGTAGGACTAGAGGTTCCATTCGACCAGCTATTACCCTTCTTGGTATTTTCCCAAAAGAATTAAAAGCACGATACCACAGCAATATATGCACACTTATATTCATAGTGGCACAGTTTGGAATAGCAAAATCTTGGAAACAGTCCAAATACTCATTAACTAGTGAATGGATAAAGAAGATGTGGATCTTCTACACAATGGAGTTCTACTCTGTCATAAAGAAGATAAGCTCTAGACATGGTAAATGGATGCACCTCGAAACCATACTCAAGTGAATAAATCAGACACAAATGTGTAAATACCACAGTTTATCTGGTGTGAGAAACGAAAGTGTAAATAAGGACTAAAATGTATAATAGGTATTGTGAAATAAGAAAATGATCAAATGGGGATGGGGAACATGGGAGGGTAGAGGAGGAAAGGAAAAAAAGGACAACTAAAAAAATGAGGAAAGGAAAAAATGGAAACAAAGCATTTGTAAATGGGGAGGGGAGGAGAAGTTGAAGGGAGGGTAGGGGAATGGTGAAAAAAGAAACATTATATCATGTATTCATACAAATTCTCTATGATGAACATGATAATTATATATACCTAAAATGTACCATTAAAATCTGACTGGAAAAGAAAAAGAACTGCCCAGATTGGCCACAAAGCTCCTGCATTAGCCTCCCTAGTGGCTGGGATTATAGGTGTGTGTCACCATGCCGTTTCATCCCATGAAAGCAAAGTTGGTTTAACATTCAAATATCAAATACGGTTATTAATAAACAAAACAGAAAACCGTATGATTGTCTCAGATACAGAACAAACAACTTAACAAAATTCAGATGTAGACCTTAATACTATCTGAATTCAAGACTTATTACAAAGCCTCAGTATTTATGACAGTGTGATACTATCATCAAGATGGGCAATTAAATCAATGGTGGGGGGAAGAGAGACAGAGACAGACAGACACACAGACACCCCAGAACAAACCTGTAGATATGTGCACAATGTACTTTGAGGGAAGGTATGAAAAAAATTCAACAACAAAAGGATAACCTAAGATTTTCAAAGAATGCTGGTGGGAATATAAAATGGAACAAGTACTCTGGAAACTATCTGTAGCTTCTCAGAAATGTACATCTATATATAAAACATTCATATCCATTTTACTCAGATTATTTATGGAAGAGAAATGATGGCCCATGTCTGTAAAAACATACAGATGTGTACAAAAACTTGAAAACATCCAAAATGTTCTTCTATTAAACTAATAGTGGTAAATGGATATTCAGTAACTTTTTTTTTTTTTTTTTTGGATTTCATTGTTTTGTTTTGGTTTTTTTGAGACCGGGTCTTCCTATATAGTATATACAGGTTAGTTTGAACTCACTATGTAGCCCAGTAGTTTGTGGCTCCTGCCTCAGCCTCCCAAGTGCTGGGATTGCAGGCATGCGCCACTATACCCCGCCAGTAATTTCGTTAAAAGAGAGTTTCATGAGTAAGGATGAGCCAAGTCACAGAAGCCACACAGTGTCCCCATTTTATCCTTTCATTTATATGACATTCTATAAAAATGTAAGTGAATCTATAGTGATACCAGAATGGTGCTTTTCTGGGGATGGAGGTGAAGGTAGGGAAGGAGGGAGGAATTTATAAATGGGCATGAGGAAACTTTATGTTCATTATCTTGATGGTACTGATGGTTTAAATAGAGTACACACATATCAAAACTAATAAAATGCTTTAGGTATGCAGATGTTAACCTCATCTCAATGAAGGTGGTGGTAGAGGGGCCTAGACTGTTAAAGATATACGAATATCATTATTTCTACTGTACATCTACCAAAGAAGTGATAATATAATATTTATTGACACTGAAGTATTTGTTATACATCTAGTGTTTTCAAAAGGTTTTACTATAACATGACATTTTTTAATTTATGGAAGTAAAATGTATCTGCACATCTGAGTAATGGGTTTCAAGGTTTTTCTTTTAATTTTTGTTACTTCTTATGTTTTAATTTTTTTGTCATAAATGTCAAAAGTAAAACCTGGACCAAGTAAATATAAAGATAATGTCCTATCTCCCAACCAGCTAATGCTGCTCAAGTGAAACTTGCTTCAGCAGGTTAAACTTCTTGTGGTTCATAGAAATAGTCAC